ATAACCCCAGGCAGATGGTAGCACCAACCCTGACAGAGCAGTGCACTTCAGAAAGAATGAAATGAGTTGTATAACCTTCCCTCCTGTGTCATAAGCACTGGCGACGATGGCTTGGGGAGTACCTGCAGAGGGGTGCACTTGCATAGGGAATAGGCAGGCTGTCATGCAATGTTGTTCGCTAGAGTAGATATTTGCATATATGAATATGTTTAATGGGGATTCATAAACATTTGTCTTTGGCTTTAAATCTCACATGGGTGAAGATAGTAGTAGCAGCACCAGCTATAGAAACAAATCTGAAAATCAAACAGCCCAATTAGAACTCAGATTGTTTAAAAAGCCATTAAGATAAAGCAAAATGAAATGAACTTTAAAGGACTAAAGGATCCAGATCTGTTAAGGGCCCCAAATGGCAAGTAATTCAAGGAAAATCCTATTAATTAAAAACCAGTGCTCTGTGAAATGGCTGCCATTACATGTGAAGGTAAAGTGCCCGTTTGCAGTACCTGTGTGAGATACAGATGAGTATTGGAAGCAGCTGGCCATCTGTCAAGGGCAGGCTGCTATTGCTTCCTGAAAAATGTTGGGCCTCAACACTGTAGGCACCAGCTATCAATCACTTAATCGCATGTTAAAAATTTTTGCTTGTGTCCCTTAAGTATCACGGTCCTCAGGTACCTAGTACAGACTCTACTGCAAAGTCACCGTGAGACGCTGACTTGGAGAGTCCCTGACAGTAGTTTGACAGCTCTTCAAGTGTTCAGGCCGTGTGGTCCAGGTTTATCCACACTTCAGACTGCACCTCTGTTCTCTGGCCTCAATTCGAAAAGCTCAATTCTGTTGTCTGTTTTAGTTCCATGTCCCGTTGTCCCCTGGCAGCAGGTCCTCCCTGCTGAGGGACCCCTGGCCGACCACTGGCTCCCAGGGCAGACATCCCTGTGCACAGGGGCCGACAGGCATGTTTTCCGTCTTCTGTCACCATAAAGCCACATCAGACCAACTGACAGCAGTTATAACCTAAAATATATTCCCCCTCCATGGTCTCTAGGGAATGTCATCCTTTCTTTTCAAAATGGCCTTAAAAGTAGCACAAATGGCTTAGTTTGATGCACTATTACAAAGACATCTCAAAGTCTCTCAACTCGTTTACCCAGACGGGTTCCTTAATAAATGCTCTAAGGCCTGGTTCCCTCCTAGGTAAAAAGGGAATGTCAGTAAAAATGAACATTGATTGAATGTTCCTTCTGTGCCAGGTCCTGGGCTAAGCACTCTCTAAGGACTGTGGGATGAGTTCTCAGGGAAGCCCTTTGAGGCAGGTGCCAGGTCCGTGGGCTGTGGAGTGGTAGAGCGAGGGTTCCCCCTGGGTCCGTGCTCTGACCACCGCGGCCCGCTGCTCCCCCACGGTGCCCACCTCCCCTTCAACGAGAGCTGCTGCTGTGAGTCGGGGGTTCCGTCACCTGGGAGGGCTCTGAGGGGATGTGCAGGGAGAGGGCTAAGGGAACATGATGGGGGTGGCTCTGGGTGGGAGGCAGCCCAGCAGAGGGAAGGCTGGAGGAGGGCCTGGAGGTGCTCAGGGCATAGGGGTGTGGGAGGTGCCTATGCAGGCCAGGTGTGATGCGCTTGCGTGCAGGTGTCCAACCCCAGACTCTGCCCTTGGCCAGGCCGTTAGATCGCCAGAGTCTTTGCCTGCCTTTTTCAAAAACAGAGATGCCACCTGCAGTAGCCTAACCAACACTTAACTTGCATCTTCCTTTTACTCTTCCTTTAACACTCCTGTTCATTTGTTGTTTAACATACCTGGCCAGTCTATTTCCTTTCATGAATAGACAGGTGATAAAAAAGTTCTCCAGAGGCTGGGAGAGGCCTGGGCACACAACCACAGCAATGCCATGTGTGTGTGCAAGTGAAGGAGGCTACACCTGCCGTCTGCTGGCCACACACCAAATACGGACAGTCCCAGTGATCTTGTGGGTGTCATGGGTTCCTCTCCAACGATATTTGATTGTTCAGCTGTGAACTTCAGCCCCTCCCTAGGCTCTCTAAGAGGCCATTCTGATATGTTCTGCATTAAAAATGAAGTTCCTCCTGAATGTTAGGGAACAAGCTCTGTGCTTCGGAGTTTGAGCCCCAGGGATCTGCCTGCAACCATCAGAACAAAGCAGAGAGCTCACGTTCTCAGCTGGCACGAGGCTGTTTCCTCAGCCTGTGCCTGTGTATCTATTGGGGTCTGGGGTGTGGTGTGGCCATGGTTGTCTGTCCCAGCTCTGTGATCCCATGTTTTGGGAATAGCATCACCCAGGGTTGCTGTGGGAATGTTTGTATTAGCTGTTCAATTTCATCTTTCCATCGCCACTTTCTCGTATTTTGACATATTCTGAGTTGGATTTGAACTCTTGAAGGCTCTCCTGAATACAAAGTATTTTTACATGTGATCCTTTGTTTTTAGAACTCAGCCAGAAACACAATAAATTCATTTTTTTAAATATAAGAGAGCTAAATTCAGTGATAGAGTGATTATTATTCACAAAGCAAGGTGGATCCCTGACTGCTTTTCTTCCAAAAATGGTGAGGGGGTAGGTGAGCCCCATTATGGAAAAGACAAATGCTAAGCCCCAGAGGGGTGACTTGTCCAGGATCAGGGGGGTGTGAAGGGCAGTATGTGATCCAAACAGACGTGTGTGTTTGTGTTGACACATCTAGCACATGCTTAAAATAAACAGAAATAAGCTGCACTCACTACCTTAAAAGAGAACCTCACACACTGTTTTTACTGTTGAGGTGACTTTTCAGCAGTGCCAGCCTTATGTGGTGACCGAGTCACATGGCTGGTTTACAGCCAAGCTCAGATCCCTTACTTTGGGGCATGCTGGGCTTTCTTGCTCTGGTGGACAGTGACCTTCAAGTCTGTGCACCAATTATCCACATAAAGATTAAACTTCCCAGACCCATGACTTCCTTCTGACAACAAAGGGGTTGTTAACGGTGATTGTATGTGTCCTTTCTCCCCCCTTTTCCTGCCCACCAGCAGGACCACCCATACTTAGAGCACCCAGTGCTTGCTGGGCAGTCCTTGAGATTAACCCAAATTGCAATGGCAGTTTACCCCAAAACAAAGAATGGGGGGTGGAGACAAGAAACTGTCTCCTTCTCTGGTCTTTTTCATCAGAAAGGCGTTTGTGCCTTTTGGTAGGAAAATAGTCTTGGGGAAGGTGCCTCAACCCAGCCAACAGACTGGTGCGGTACACTATGCCATCACTATGCTAGTCACTGGGGACCCGAGGACAAAGAAAACACAGCGCCATCCCTAGGTTATTCCCAAACAATGAGTGCTCTAACGAATCACCAAGAGGTCTCTTCTCTTTGGAGCCAAGCAATGCGTTTGTGAAGTTAAGGAAATGAATGGCATGCCAGATGTGCAGGGTAATTGGGGGTGAAGCTCCACCGTCTGCTGATGTTTTGTTGGTTTGCTTCTGGCTTAAATAATGAAGGAATATACCTCCCGATACTGGGAGACTAGCAAGAGCCTGTAAGGAAGCAGATTTGGTGTCCTAACGGTAAAGCCTTAAATGGGACACCAAAACAACTTGGAGATTTCTCAGTTGTGTTCTGTAGAACAGATAGAAGTTTTTCTACTTGATCAAATGCAGGGAGCAAATTTATTTTGTAGACTTATGGAATCTAAAGCAGGACTGGACCTCAGCAAAGCCCTTCACTTGACACATGAAAAATGGGGGTGGGAGGAATTAAGTGACTTACCCCTCATTCACCCCAAGTGCCTGAAATGACTTATACAAATATTCGGAGGAATGTATTGATGATAGGCCTATAATTTGGCTTTTAAAGGTAGTAGGTACATTTTAGGGGACAGTCTTTGGAAGTTGGCTTCAAGGAAGACAGTGAGGCCTTTGTAGGGACGACGCCTGGAGCCTCAGGGCTCCTCTGAAGTGGGCACCCCTGCTCCCTGGCAGAGTGGCTTTGCTTATGTAATATACTTTTATAGAATATGCTTCTGAGTAAGGCTGCTTTTGAAATTAATTAATGTGAAAATTACTCTTCTCTAAAGAAAATATGGCAGTGCTAAAAAGAATACAATTTTATCATCATCACAAATAATAAGACCTGAATTTGTGTCTCTTTTTTTTTTTTTTTTTTTAGTTTTAACTTTTATGGACCAAAAGTGTGCTTCCCCACTGCCTGTGCGAGGACAAATCAAAGGGACCCGGATGGGCTGGGAGTTGCCTTCACGGGCTTTTCAGGAAGCTCCTTCCTGGTTGGCTTTCCACACTCAGTAGGATCTTGGGGATGATGTGTTCTCCAGCTCTTTGAGGGATGGAAGGCCTCAGCCTCTGTTGCTCACCACTCAAGTTATTGTTTTATGGCTCTCAGCACTGCTACTTCTTCCCTAATTCTCTTTACCATGAAGGCCCCCCAGGCAGGTAGCGGGGCACAGCACAGCACCTGGAACATAAAAAACACTAAACAAGTAATTATGGAATCAAAACTACCCAGGAAAAAGCTCCTACTTGGTTCTGGTTTTCTAAAACAGCATCTCTTTTTGTTATTGCTGTAGCATAGTTGTACAGATTTGGGGGGTACATATGACATTTTGATACATGTATGCAATGTATAATGATCAAATCAGGGTAATAAGGATATTCAGCACCTCAAAAATTTATCTTTTCTTTGTGTTGGGAACATTACAGTTCTTCTCTTCTAGCTATTTTGAAATATACAATAAATTATTGTTAAGTATAATTTCCCTACTAACACAGCATCTTCTGGAGACTGCCATCTTAGCCTATGACTGTTGTGAGGGTTCATTTTATGATGTGTCCGCTATTTCCTAAGTGCATCGGAGGAAAAGTGCATAAAAGGGAAAGAAAAAAGAATTAGGAAATCGAATAGACTTATTACCGAAATGTTGCTCTAATAAAGGTGATAATTTTGTTGAATTATTTTCAATCCTCTAAGTCTCTGTACCTCTTTGTTCCTCTTTTCAGAATGCTAGAAGATGACCTTAAGCTAAGTAGTGATGAAGAAGAGAATGAACAGGTAAGATTCTCTTTTATGTTGCTGTCCTTTGGATGTGACACAGGTAGCACTGACCCAGTGCAGTGTGCTGGGTGTTACCTGAGCTGAAGTGTCCTCGAGGATGCCGGGTTTTCTTCTGCTAATTATGAGCCTCTATGCAGTTGGGCCAGTCTATTAAAGTATCTTAACCTTAATTTCCCTTAAAATTTTAATTCTGTGATCTTTATGACATTGAGATCAACAACGGGTATTACAAGGAAAGTGACTAAGATCAGGCTTCTCTGTGAAATACAGCCTTTTTTTTCTTTTTGGCAAAGCTAACTGACCCTCTGCAGATCAAACATGTGACCTTAACCTCATCAGCATGCAACATGCAAGCTGTAACATTAAATATTGAGCAGTCTTATACAGATATTATTAACATTGAGAAGGAGCAAACGCAGAGATGAGCTCAAATGATGAATAAAAAATAATCATGCTGTTTGTCTTAAATGATAAATGTGCTTGAAATATTCTCCCTTGGTGTTGATTTATCAGCTCGAGACATCAGTCAGGGGGTTATAAATACTCTTCTGATAAGTCAGTTAAGGTGAAAAAATATCCACTTAACATTCATCACTTTCACTTCTGTATTTCAGGAAATGTTTGTATTTCAAAGCAAGTTTAAAAACACTAAAGAGAGATTTTCCTACATTTCTGTTTCTTTTTTCTCATCACCTGTATTGTATTTTGTCAAGTTTGGATAAATGGGATGGGTAGAAAGACAATTCAGAGAGGTTTTTTTAATAAGTCATTTTTGTATGCAATGCAAAATACTTTTGCTATGCAATTGATTTTGGAATAGTGAACTTAATACAAAGGTATCATGAAATGCTATGCAAATGATTCGCTGTCTAGACGTGCAAATACAAATAATGTACGGAGAGAATAGGCAGAGGTGAAATAAAAGTCAAAGGAAAATTTCAGGGAAGAGCGTCTGAGCAGAGCATGGCTATGAGGTCACAGAAGAGTTTGCTTGCCTTGTGAGAGAAACTGAGGCACCAAAGATGGGAGAAGAGCTTGAGGAGCCTGGAAACCATATTGGCAAGTGGAGGAAACCCAGTGAAGGAAGGTTAACTGTGCAAGGAAAGCCACTCAGGCTTTGAGTTTTTTTTAGAGATCGATTAATTTGTTTCTAGGTATACACATCAGGGCAGTCAGATATCCACAAAATGGCAATCTCAGCAGAAATATAGAATGGCTTCACTCCTAATTTTGGTTCCTCGTCGGTGTTACTATAAACAAATGACTTCATCTCTTTCTGTTTGTCCCCGTTGAGCAGCTCAAACAGGTGCATTATGGATTAAGTCATATCAAACATACAAATTGTGTGTACTTCATATTAGAAAAAGGATTCACGGACTATTTCAATCTACAAACCTTTCTTAATTTGAAAATAACTTTGTGAGCTATTTCCAGGAAATACTTCCAATGAAAACTCAATTTAAAAAAACTCATTATTAGTGATACACGTTCTCTAAGGCAGTGAGAACTTTTAGTCGACTCGTTTTGCTTTGTTAGCTACTCCCTTCCAGTCTGTACCCATTGATAATATTGTATTGTGAATATACAGGTCACATATTTTATTCTTGCATTTAATCCCTATGTGCATACACCTTCCTATTTTTGCAATAAAAGGTACTAACAAAATGACTAATTTTTATTCAGTAATCCCTTTTTCCTAATGAAGACTCCAAATAGTGGTTTTGTATATGGGAGTTTAAAACTAGTTATTGCTTCAACACTAATTATATTAAGTTGTCTTGTTTTGGCCTATAATCATACCCTGGTCTAATTATAGAATTATAATTCCCATACTTTAAAAAAAGACTGATGATTTTTTTCTCTCCAAGACCAATATATTGTTTTTCCCTGAAAGAGTACAGCTTGTGCACACATGCAACACACATAGACACACTTCATTATCTAACATTGTGAGTAATTAAACATTTAGAATAAATGATTTTTCCAGGTCCCATTTATTTATTTTTGTTGTTGCTGTGATTGCTTTTGGGGTCTTCTTCATTAATTCTTTGCCTAGGCCAGCGTCTACAAGAATTTTTCTAACATTTTCTTCTAGAATTCTTATGTTTTATGCTTTAGGTTTAAGTTTGTTATCCATCATGAGTTGATTTTGTGAGTAGTGAGAGGTGTAGATCCTGATTCAGTCTTCTACATGTGGCTATCCGATTTTCCTAGCACCATTTATTAAATAGGGATTCTTTTCCCCAGTGTATGTTTTTGTCTGCTTTGTCAAAGCAGACTATATGAGGATGGTTTTATATCTGGTTCTTGGTTCTGATCCAGGTGTAATCAGACCTTGTCCTTTAAACCCAAAATCTTTCCCAGAAAACCCCCTGCCTCAATAAACATGATGCTAAGATCCTTAACCTTTTCTTACATTATATCTGGTTGGTTACCTTTGTGAATATTGGTTCGACTAGCCTGTATAGCCACCGTAATAAAGAGATATCCATAAGAGCTTCAAGTTGCTACACCTGTCTGCCCTTCCTCAGACAGCCTCAGACTCTTGTGTGGTTCAACACTCCTACCTAATGTTTCCTTTTCTCCTCATTGCCTTTGTGCTCTTAAAGATTCAGAGACAGTCTAGTTTAGCGATTAAGAGTATAGCAGCCCTGCCCCAGGGGTTCAAATCCCTGCTCTGTTACTCATGGCTTTGCAACCTTGGCCCAGCCCCCGAACTGCTCTCTGCTTCAATGTCTTCATTTATAAAATTGGAATCAATGTTAGATCCCCCAGGCCTGCCTCTTCCTCAGAACTTCAGGTCACCCATCATCTTCATGTCACCAGATCTATTAGGCATTTTTTGCTTTTATATTATTTATGGAAATGATAAAAACTTTTATAAATGACAAAAAATATGTTCATGATTATCAACTTATAATTGAAAGCAACATACATAGAGGAAAGGGCACATACCCTAAGTATACAAATTGTTGAATGTTCACAGAACAACCCCATGTAACCAACACCCAGATCAAGATATAGATGTAACCAGCCTCCCAGGTGCCTCCTGTCCCCTTCCAGTTACCACTCTCCAAAAGAATAGCCACTTTCCTATTTTCCAACATCATAGCATAATATGGCTTGTTTTTGAACTTTATATCAGTGGAATTATACAGCATGTACTCTTTGGTATCTGACTACTTTTGCTCAACATTGTTTGTGGGATTTATCTATGTTGATTCTATTTCATATAACTGAAGTTTGTTCATTTTCATGGCTGTTACCTTATTTCATTATGTGTGTATCCCATAATTTACTTACTTATTCAACTGCTGATGAACATGTGGATATTTGGCTCTATTAAAATAGAGCTGTTATGATCATCCCTGTATAGATCTTTTGTTGAACATATGGGAGCATGTCTACTGATCTATGCCCAGGAGTATAAATGCTGAGTGGTAGGGTGTGGGTATGTTCAACTTTAATAGATTGTCTCTAACCATTTTCCAGAATAGTTGTACCAATTGACACTCCCACCAGCAACATAAGAGAATTCCATTTGCTCCACGTCCTTGCCACACATTTGCCTTTTTATGTTCATGAGGTATATTGGTTTGAAGTTTTCTACTTTTTACTGTCTTTGTCTAGTGTTTTTTTTTTTTTGAGACAGAGTCTCGCTCTTTTGCCCGGGCTAGAGTGAGTGCCGTGGCGTCAGCCTAGCTCACAGCAACCTCAAACTCCTGGGCTCAAGCAATCCTCCTGCCTCAGCCTCCCAAGTAGCTGGGACTACAGGCATGCGCCACCATGCCCGGCTAATTTTTTCTATATATTTTTGGTTGTCCGATTAATTTCTTTCTATTTTTAGTAGAGACGGGATCTCGCTCTTGCTCAGGCTGGTTTCGAACTCCTGAGCTCAAACAATCCGCCCGCCTCGGCCTCCCAGAGTGTCTTTGTCTAGTTCTGATATCGGGGTAATACTTGCCTTATAAAATGAATTAGAAGGCGTCCCCAACTCTTTTCTTTTCTTGAAGAGATTGTGTAAAAATTGATGTTAATTCTTCTTTGGCAGAATTCTCCAGTGAAACCATATGGGCTGGCGATTTTTAAAACTTAAAAAAATTTATTTCCTTAATAGTTACAGGGCTATTCATATTATCTGTGTCATACTGGGTAAGTTGTGGTAATACATGCTCTCCAAGTAATTAGTCTATGTATTTATGTGTATAGAGTTGTTTGTATTATTCCTTCATTGTCCTTTTGATGACTGCAGGAGCTATAATGTTACCCTCTGTTTCACTACTGATAGTCATCATTTGTCTTCTTTTTTTTTTTTTTTTGTCTTGCTAGAGGTTTATCAATTTTATTGATCTTGTCAAAGAACTAGCTTTTTGTTTCATTGATATTCTCTGTTTAGTTTTTCTGTTTTCAATTTCATTGATTTCTTATCTTTATTTTTTTCTCTCCGGCTTGCTTTGGGTACATTTCTGCTGTTTTTCTAGTTTCTTGAGGAAACTTAAATTATTGATTTGAGATTATTGATTTTTTTGTAATGTAAACATTTAGTGCTATACACTTCATTCTCAGCACTGCCATAGCTTTATCCCCAAATTTTGACATGTTGTATTTCAGTGTCATTCAGTTCAATGAAAATTCTTTTTTGACTCAGGGATTATTTAGAAGTGTGTTGTTTAATTTCAGAGATTTTACATTTATTGGTTCCATTATGGTCAGAGAACATATTTTGTATGATTTCAATTCTTATAAATTTGTTGAGGATTTATTATAGCCCAGTATATTGTATTGGTATATGTTTTATAGGCACTTAAAGGAATATGTAGTCTGTTGTTGGATGAAGTGTTCTATTAATATCAGTCATTTTCTGTTGTTTGATGTTGTTGAATTCTTTTATATCTTTTCTCACTTTCTGTCTAATTGCTCTGTCCATTGTTGAGAGAGAGGTGTTAAAGTCTCTGGCTAAGATTATAGATTTGTCTATTTTTATTTCTTCTTTCCAT